CTGTTCCGCGTGGAAAGAACAACCTGCCAGTTACATCTCTTTCCCCGAACATCTCACTGATAGAACACATTTCACTTTAAGTTACTTCGTTTTCGGAATAACGAAATAGAACAGACAATCAACACGGCCGATATAAATCAAAATACCCAATATTACTTCACACTTACATTCCACAAAATAAGTTCGTTTTGGTGTATAATTAGATAAATGTGGCTCTTTTTCATAAAGGATCCATTTCCTCCTCCGAAAAATGCCTCGTTTCACAGTATGGATATATATATATATATATATATATATATATATATATACGTCATAAGTTCATGGCAGAGCAACACGAAAATCGTTGATTAATATTATTGATTTCATTCAAAGTCTTGTCTTACGTTCTCTACCAAGAACATCAATTTCATTCCATCGCTAGATGAATGCAGTAGAGTACCAAAGACATGATTGGTTGGTGCAATTAGTAAATAGTCATTCACTGTGCACTCTGTTTCAGAGGCACAATTCTTTTCATGACCTAATTTCGGTAAACAAATTAACGCGGATTATCGATTTCATCGATCAGCCTAGAAGTACAAGGACACTGCAGAGTGTGTAAACCACAACAACTAGCTGGTTCAAATCTGACCGACATTTAATGAAAGGTCATTTAAGTGAGGGACGTATTGGAGTAGGTTTTCTAAAAAAAACCTATCAAAAGATGCACACTATAGGCCAGTATATCATGTTTCACACCGGCAAATCGGTCACAAATGGGGCTCAAGTCGTGAGTCCTGGGCTATGTTATATACTGCTCCACGAAGCCTAGGCTCCTTTCGCCATTATTTGTCAGCCATTCAATACAGTTCACGAACTACACGATAAAAGTCAAGATTCATACGTCGCCGATTTGTAAAATACAAGAAACACTGTGTATAATCTATATGATTTGCCGATATTACTGAGTGAAAGTGACCACCAGTAGGACTTCTTTTATCTATAAGTGCAGACTGATTCCATCAACATTTTGTGATATGAACATAAAAGGCACCCATAATCCCGGTATCCGGTAATTTCGGCTAGTAGCCTATATACAATACTACTGAAAGTGCTTGATTATTCATATATTATTCTATGACAGCAGTCGCATGCAACACCGAATTGCGGAATAAAGAAGTGAAATATCCATATAACACAGAATGAGCAGTGGAGCTAGAAATCCCGTGTGCTTCAAGTTTGGAAGAATAAAGATTGGTCCTCATTCGTGTATGACTCTCGAGTGTTTCAATCGAGCAGCGACATGGTCATTGTAGAAGTAACTCGACCGCTATTATAAAGCCCTTTCGATTCTCTCCCACTTCGTTTTCTTGTGATCCTAGCCACTTCCTAACCTTTCTATGTTTCTTTCGCTCGATTCAGTTTAACTTCGTGTCCCGCCCGCCTAGTAGATGCACTGTCAGTAGACGTGAGTGTTATTAAACACGGCTAGCTAAAATTCTCCAAGAATACCGACAGCAATGGTTCTGGACAGTCACGAGGAAAATACGTGGTATAGAAAATGTGTGATTTAGACAAAGAGCACTCCCGATCAACTGGGCAATAAACACATGAGTTCTAAAGGGAAGAGTGAGAAAGGTATAGAAAACACTTGTAAACTATCCGTGAACGCGAGAAGCCCACTGTCTAAAGTGTACCAAATTTGACCAGTCAGAAAGAGCTGAACACTCCAGTAAGAATCCAGGGGCAGCAGGTCACAAGAATTTGAGAAACGGCGTTTGCCTACTGTCAATAAGCAGTAGTGTAAATTACGAAGTAATGCATGGAAGGTACGGCGTAAGTCGCCGATACGGGGCCCAATCCGCCTGATGACATTGACTAAGACTATTGGAAACCTACTGCTAAATATATTAAATGATGAGGGCTAATAACCAACTTGAATATCGCCTTTCGAAGTCCTGGTGAAATAAATCTTCATTTGTATTGAACGAACTAAATAAAACGGATTTATTACTATTTTTCTGAGCCCGTCTGTAACCCAATACGCGTTTACCGGAATACCATCTGCCTCGAAGTGAACCATAGATCAATGTGAATATTTTGTTAACGAACTCTATTTTAAATTTGTTACTTTTCACTCTCAACCAAGTAAAAAATTCCATCTCAGTAAGATATTTTGAAGACAGAGTGGTTCACCTACGGAGCTTGAAAACGATGATCGGTAGTGTAATACTGACTGAGGTAGTCAACAAATCTAGCCCGAAAGCGGATTTTGTATTTCGCTGGGTCGATGTTCCCGGTTGAGTTCCAGTCATTTGAAATTCATCTGGATCGATGATTTATTGAGTCGTTTCATTTCTTGTTTTTCTTTTGATTCATGTGCTGTCCAATTACCGCCACTTGCCAAAAAATTGCTAGTGAACATGTACTTCAAATCGATTGGAAACTGAAATTTTACTGTCCAAATTTGTGCTTTAGGTCACATTTTTGAGGGACAGAAGGCCATACTTGTGTATGGTTCATCCCCAATTTACGTACATGAGCTAGCGATCATGCACATAATCCCATTAGGCGTAAGCTTATCGCCGTTAGTGAGTCGCGTCAGATGTACTGTAAAAGATATAACCGTAAATTATCACACTTGGCACTATGCGAGAAAAAACACTATATTTGCATCGAATGAAGACATTTTGATTCATGTTATCGCTGTAGCGACGGCTTGTTTTTCTCAGGGATTTCGTTGCGCGCGTCCACATCTTGTATTCTCGATGACATAAACGGTCACACTTTGTATTTTTGTTTGCACCACTAAGCTATCCGAAGCGCGTTCGAATCGTTATAACTTTCTGTGATGAGGCAGGGGCTTACAAAAACGTGACTGCCAATGTGATATTCTCGAAGAACCTCATTCCGATGACTTGTGTGTCACAAAACATGTTTCGTTGGTTTATCTGTATTCTATTCATTCATGTTTCAACTCACAGTGGACGATTTACCGTGAAGAATAAGTAATCCGTGAGACTTTATTCTGTCAGATCAGTTATTCTTATATGAGAAGGCATCCGGGTGTAAAATAATTTGCCAGATTTAGTCTCGCTTGAGATTCTGGACCTTTTAGCTGTAGACATATATACATTTATGATAATGGATTTGTAACAGACATGTGCATTAGCAAAACGTAGGGTTCCAGTGCTGGATTTTTACATCTTCCTTGAATTCATGAAATGAATACTGTTGACAATATATTCGCGATGCTGATAGAATCAAACAACGAACAGGTCTGCGCGAATGAGATTCGTTTTCAGTGGAGCATACTTTTATCCAAGAAAGTCTGACGTGCTGAAAACTCCGGCAACCACCGCAGTTGTATCCTATTCTTCTACATTTGGAAGCTGTCGGTAATCTGCCTGCTCATCTAACTGTATGGACATGTACAAAGAAGTGATGGTTAAAATCCTGTCACTTATTCGGCTCTCTGAGGAGTAACTGATTGCTCTGTAAAACTGAAATTTTACTTTTATCTGTAGATTCCTTTATCAACTAATTGGGAAATTAAGTTTTGGATGATCCTTGTGTATTATCATGCTTGACTAAAGTTCATATGCATCAATATACTTCGACTTGACCATCCAAACTGATAACAGTCCTGATCAAGATTACCGCTGTCGTAAACAAGTTCGTTCATACAACCGCCTAAAATTGATAAAATACTGTAATTTCTAGCTCTCTGTTCAAAAAAAGACGTGACCACTGAGAATCGTCTTCGGATTTTACTGCTCAAGGAGAAACAGAAAAATCGAATACAGTT